GATTCTGTCCCGGTTGCCCCTCTTCCAGGCCAGCCCTCTGCTGTGGCCAGGGAGTGCAGTGGAGGATGGCCCAGGTGCTTGGGCCCTGCACCCCATGGGAGACCAGGAAAAGCACCTGGCTCCTGGCTCCTGCCATCGGATCAGCGCGGTGCGCCGGCCGCAGCGCGCCGGCCGCGGCGGCCATTGGAGGGTGAACCAACGGCAAAGGAAGACCTTTCTCTCTGTCTCTCTCTCTCACTGTCCACTCTGCCTGTCAAAAATAAAAAAAAAAAAAATAAAAAAATAAAAAAAAAAAAAAAAAAAAAAAAAACAAGTGCTTGCTGTGCCACAACCAGAAATTCAAAGTTTAATTTGGTTTTGCTTTAGGTACAAATCCCATAAACATCTTATGCATCGTCTTCCTGTAACTGTAATATTGCAATGGTCTTAATTTTCTACCATCAGCTCTCCAACTCCCACCTACAGCTCAGGAGAGACACTGTAGTTAACCTGTCACCATGGGGCCATCCCACAACTCTTGCTGGAGTCAGACAGAAGTCGACATTCGTTAATCATTGGTGGCCTGAGCAGATCAGGAGGGAGTTCAGAGCCCGAGTTGCCAGGAGACATCCAAATGCGGCAGGAAGCCGGCTCTAGTAACGTGGCCTCACGTGAGCCCAAACAGCCACCAGACCACAGGCCTTCTGAGCACACAGGTCCCAAGATTCAGATGGGAAGAGGACTGCTCCCCATCCCTGCCTAGACCTACAGGAACAGCCCCCAGGCAGCTGTCATCACTGCTCAAGTCCCAGTAGCTTGGAGGTAACTTGACACTAATAACAGTCCCAAGTAATAGATGCTCATGGAGGCTTTGTTGTTGCCATTACAGTCAATTAGAGGTTATCGCTGTAATAAGGTAACTCCCACCTGCAGGCCCACAGCTCACCAAGTGGGTGTGACGGGAGCAGGGCTATGGCTAGGGAAAGGATGGAATACAAACCATAGGCGGTGTGCCCGGAGCTGCAGCCCAGACAAGCCTACTCCCTCCCTGGCTACTGTTATCAGAGATCCCACAAGAGCTTGGAAATTGTGGTTATACAGTTACTTCCTTTTTGCTTGTTTGCCATTTTTTGTCTGCAAATTCATATTGAAGGCCTGAAGAATATATACTGACATCTATTTTTGCAATAATGCTTTTGTATTTCAGTAATAATGACAATGGTCTCAGTGAACAATTACAGGCAGGCAAAATGCTGATGTGAGTGAAGTATCCTAATTTTAAAAATTGTTTCTATAGAGAATTGTAAAGTTGTGTCCGGCACTGTGGTGTAATGGGTAAAGCCACTGCCTGCAGTGCCAGCATCCCATATGGGCGCCGGTTCGAATCCCAGTTGCTCTACTTCCAATCTGGCTCTCTGCTATGGCCTGGGAAAGCAGTAGAAGATGGCCGAAGGCCTTGGGCCCCTGCACCCACGTGGAAGACCTGGAAGAAGCTCCAGGCTCCTGGCTTTGGATGGCACAGCTCCGGCCACTGCGGCCAATTGGGGAGTGAACCAGCAGATGGAAGACCTCTTTCTCTGTCTCTCCTCTCTATGTAACTCTTTCAAATAAATCTTAAAAAAAAAAAAAAAAAAAAGTATAGGCACTTTACATTCCAGTAACTTAGTAAGTACCCACAAAAATACAAACTGTACTGTTAACAATAAACACAGAGGCTGGGCTTTGGTGTGGCAGGAGTGAGATAAGGACTCCATGCATAATATTGGCTGACAAAGCAACATAGCATCTGTAAAAACCAAACACCGTTTTACATTGAGTTCAAAGCCACGTATCATTGAAATCCCTGGAACTGATCCTGCCACCCCTGCACTTGGTATCAGCGAGAGAGCATCTGGAACTTTACACTCCAACTTGGGCATCAACAGTAAAGAGAGGGCCTGAGACATCAGAATGTGCCCCAAAGGGGAGGGCCCAAAATGGGGAAGGGTCTAGAAATCACACCATGGGGGTGAAGAGTTAGGAGAGGGCTGGGAGAAGGACAGGAAGGGTTGTCCCAAACCAGAAGACTTACCTATCCAAGGCAAAGCTTGGTGAATAAACACTATTGAGAGGTTTCTACCCACAGCTTTCTAACAAGCACACATTCCCATTTCAACCATCAATGATCTGTGCAAAGATAAACATCACGCTCCTATACACAGAAGGAGGGTGACCAGGGGCCGGCCTTGTGGCACAGTGGGTTAAACCAGAGCCTACGATGCCGGCATCCCACATGACTGCCAGTTCAAGGCCTAGCTGCTCCACTTCCAATCCAGCTCCCTGCTGACACACCTGGGAAGGCTGCAGAATATGATCCAAATTCTTGGGCCCCTGCTGTCCAATTGGGAGAACTAGATGGAGATCCACAGCCCCAGACGTGTGGCCATTTGGAGAGTGAACCAGCAGATGGACGACATCCCTCTCTCCCCTCCTGTAACTCCGCATTTCACGTCAATAAACCTTTATAAAGAGGGTGAGCTAGATGACCTGCAAGCTTCCCTCAAACTCAACAACTGTTATGGTCTCAAGTGGGTTATTTTTAGAACTGAAACACCAATGCCGATTTAAATTGTCTCCCATCATTAACAACCAGCTGACCTGACCACCAAGCTTTTCAGACTGCAGGTATCCACCACCTCCACTCAAGAACCGCCAACTCTGCTCGGCTGACATACCACACGGTGACGCAGGCTTTGTTCAGTGAACGAGTACTCTAGAGGCAAGGTGAGCAATGTTCTGCCGCATCATCCGCTCTGACCCTCACCTCTCGGCTGTGAACTTGACAGTTTCTAATCCCGTGGCAGACCCACCTCGTGGCACACGGACTCTGAACACACACAGAGCACGACCACAGGCTTAACTCCAAGGGAGCCCTGCCTGTGCTTCATTAAGTCAGGGAGGACTTCCTAACTTCAGGCTCATGTCAAAGGGGCCCGACACTCCACACATCATCCGTTAGGGTTCAGCTGTTGAACAGTCAGTCAGAGATCCAGAAGGCAAACAGTAAAACTTACCTGGCACGGAACTGGAATCCTTTTAAGATGCAAATGTTCATTTAACAAATAACCTACTGACAAGGTAACTGACTATTCTTTGCTTCAGTCCCCGTGGGTGTTAACACTACCATCATTGGGGCCAGTTCTGTGGCATAGCAGGTAAAGCCATCGCCCGCAGTGCCGGCATCCCATATGGGCGCTGGTTTGAGTTCCAGCTGTTCCACTTCCAATCCAGCTCTCTGCTATGGCCTGGGAAAGCAGAAGAAGATGGCCCAAGTCCTTGGACCCCTGCACCCATGTGGGAGATCCAGAAGAAGCCCCTGGCTCCGGATCGGCTCAGCTCTGGCTGTTGTGGCCGTTTGGGGAGTGAGCCAACGGCTGGAAGACCTCTCTGTCTCTCCCTCTCACTGTCTGAAACTCTACTTCTGAAATAAGTAAGTAAAATCTTACAGAGATGACCACCATGTCACCTGGAGGGCACTGAGGTCTCACAACCTAGGTCGCCAGACAGAACAGGATCTTCGGGAACCCAACTTACACCTGTCATTTACTGAGTGCTTCTCATCTGCCGTGCACTGCACATACCAAAAGCTCTTTTATCCATTCAATTAATCCTCTTAGGGAGCAAGTACTACTATTATTTCGAGGCGACCTCAAACATCTGTAGGAAGTTGGAACTAAAAGCTGTTTATTTTGATGCGATCGCTTTTGGAAACCTTCGCACTGTTTTCTCACAATGTGATTTGGCCATAAGTCTTGGACTGTTTGTTGATTTATTGGAGAGGTAGAGTTACATAGAGAGGAGAGACAGAAAGGTGGCCGGCCCTGAGTTTTCTGAAGACCCCTCACACTACCCAAGCAGACTGGGGTGCACTTCAGCCCCGTGAGCACTGATGATAAACAGAGCCAGCGCCCAACTCCCAAGGGCACGTTCTGTCTCATCCCATGGCCTGCGCGGCAGCTCCGACTCCACGGCACTAAGCTGGAGTGCTGCAGTAGAAACCCTCACATTCAAGGCCAAAGAGGCAGGAGAGGAAGGTGCAGAATACAATGACTCACTTTATCTGCAACTAATAAAAATATATCAGACGGGAAAGCATCCTACCCCAGCAATAACACTCAAGGGACTTCAAAAGGTACACACACACACCCACACACACATACACCCCGAAAAACTATGCACGATTTAAAAAGAAAAATCTTCCACTAAAACACTTAAAATTTATTTCCACTTTCCATGAACTTTTTGAAGTCCCTTCACATAGCCAAGTCTGGCAAACTTGCACTCTGATAGGATTCACTGGTTTCAGAAACACCCGACGACTTATGCTAGGCCAACTACTCAGTGGCGTCCTGGGCTGTCTGGGATCTAAGCCAGCATCAAAGAAATTCTCTTGCAGTCTTCTGTGACAGTGACAAGTAGTGGCAAGCCCTGTGCAGAACAAACAAATACCAACCTGTAGGCGACATGTGGGGACTCAGGCAACCTTAGCTTATACTTCAGTCAGACACTAAAGTCACCAAAAGTCCAAAGTGGCCAACCTGCTTGAACTCACACTTGAGCCACCAACACACAGGAGTTGCCAGGAAGTCTGGAAGAAGGAGAGGGAGCCATCGAAACCTACTTCCTGCCACCTGCCAGCCACTGCTTCCATCACAGCTGTGCACTGGCATCGGAGGGGTGATGGACGAGCATGCGGAGGCCAGAGAGCAGTCACTGAGCCATCTCCCCGCCAACATCTGCCCTCCAGCCACAGGTGAGGAAGAGGGCACATAGCAGATGGCTTTACCCTTACTGTTGTCCCCTCTCTCTTCCTGCAGGGCTGTCACTTGACTTGAGGGGAAAGGCAGGGATGGAGGAAGAGAGGGAAGGCAAAGTGAATTCAGAACCAGCACAGCCAAGAAACTGCACCCACAACGGGGCCACCGGGGAGGTACCCGAGCACACGCGGCAGTGGCTCCTGGGCCGACGGCACCGGTGCTTACCTGGCTGCTGAAAGACCCTTTCTTGGCCACACTTGGAGCCTGAGGGGGGCCCTGGGCTGGTGACAACCTCGAAGGACTCTTCTTACTCTGAGGCAGCAGTGAGGACAGGAAGCCCACGCGAGGCGACTGGGAGAGGGAGGCGCTCCGCTGGCTGCACACCATGGCTCTGTTCAGACAGACACGCCACAGGGTCACAGGGCCGGAAGGGGACACCGGACAACCAAGAACAGACCACCCAGGCCTTAGCTAGCTCCAGGAGCCGAGCTGGAAGGCGGTATCACTCAATACCTTTTTTTTTTTTTTTTTGTACAAAGAGAGCTGGCAGCTTGTCTGGCTCTTCTTGGAGGATGTGGTCAAGCTCAGAGCTGCTTTGTCTGACCGCCCCTGGCCACGGGTGCTACTGAGCAGCTCAGTCATGGCTAGCTCAAAGCGAGACATGCTGGAGGTTTCATATACACTGGAATTCAAAGACTTAGCATGACGGGACTGGTGCTGTGGAGAAGTGGGTAAAGCCACCGCCTGCAGTGTCGGCACTCCACATGGGTGCCAGTTCGAGTCCCAGCTGCTCCACTTCTGATCCAGCTCTCCGCTATGGCCTGGGAAAGCGGTGGAAGAGGGCTCCTGCACCCGCATGGGAGACCCAGAAGATGCTCCCGGCTGCTGGCTTCAGGTTAGCCCAACTCCGACAGTTGCAGCCATTTGGGAAGATTTCTCTGTCTGCAATTCTGCCTTTCAAATAAGTAAATCTTTTTATAAAGAAATCTGAAGAGACCTAGCATGAAAAAAAGGCATAAAACGGCTCACTAGTTTGTGTTCACTGCACACTGAAGCAACACTTTTAGATATACTGGGATATGTTATCACATCATTACAACTGACTTCACTTGTTCGGACTCTGTTTTTAAACACAGATGCTACAAGTTTGTAAGGCCCAGCTTCAGCTTGCAGTTTGTTTCCATCCGATGGCGATGGCTGGGCCGCTCGTCTTCACCTGGCACAGTCCTCGGCTGTACACGCTCTGCAATCTGTCTGCGCCCCCAACCCCCATCACCAGCTGTGTCCGCCAGCACCTCCGTTTCTTCAACCACTGCTATTGTTATCACCACCACCTCAGACCCCTGCTTTAACTGGCTTTTTAAAGACTTATTTATTTGAAACAGTTACAGGGAGGTAGAGACAGAGGTCTTCTACCTGCTGGTTCACTCCCCAGATGGCCGCAACAGCTGGAGCTGTGCCGATCGGAAGTCAGGAGCCAGGAGCTTCTTCCTGGTCTCCTACACGGGTGCAGGGCCCCAAGTACTTGGGCCATCCTGTACTGCCTTCCCAGGCCACAGCAGAGAGCGGTATCTGAAAAGGAGCAGCCAGGACTAGAACCGGCGCCCAGATGGGATGCCGGCACTTCAGGCCAGGGCTTTAACCCACTGCGCCTCAGCGCCGGTCCCGACTGGCTATTTTCCAACACTTCTCTCTCTCCCCACCTCTTTCAGTGGCATGCTTCGAGGAGCCCGTCTAGCTGTCCATGTGAGACATTCCTGACGCACAAAGACTTCCCAGGCTTGTGCTGTGGTTTATCTGTCCAGGCCACGCGCATCTGGGTGCACACGCCCCTGGCAGGGCTGTGCAGCCCTCCCTCCCTGGGTACAGCCAGAGGCTCACAGTGCGAAAAGCTCCTAGGGGGAACCTCAGGGAACAGGGCCTCTTACAAGACTGAGGCGAGGGCCTCGCGTGCCCAGGCGGCTCTTTGGCAAATCTCCCTCGCCAGGCAAAGGGGGCCACAGCCAAGGTGGGGCCGGAGAGACACAGGGCTTACAGCACAGGGGACGAAGGAGAGGAGGGGTGGCCACTCCACACACACTCACAGCTCTGAGTCCCCCAGGCGGTCCATGTTGGAGACGTAGGGCGGCAGTTTGTGCTGGACCAAGGCCTCTTCCTCCTCTGGAGGATGCTCCTCTTTCTTCAGCCGGTGGACTTCAGCCTGCAGCGCAAAAAGCTACACAGGGGTAGGACTGAATGAGCCGATGGCCTCGCCGCATCTTCCCTCTGGTGGAGAACATTCTAGAACCATCACATCCCAACCCAAGCTCCCGACTTCAAGTGCCACTTTCCCTCAGCCTCAAGGTGCCCTTCTCTGCTCATCGTGCACTGGAGAAATCGGCCAAATGACAGCTGGTGCTGGACTAGAGTGAGCTGCGAAAACCTGCAACCATTACAAATCCAACCTGTTCCTTTTTATTGTCGGACTTACTTCCTAGTTACCGAGTTTCTTCCTAAATTCACTGAGAAAAAAAAAGAGCCCCATGCCCACCTGCCTTCCTCCTGTTTTAGAAGTCCTACAGGAAAAAATAAAGTTGCAGTAAATTGGGGCATTTTTAGCCTTTCATCTAAAGAAAATAAAGACACACTAATTCATCCACACACATACCCAAAATTCAGCTTATATAACCTTCCTTCTCCTGGCAATACAACATGTAGAGATTTTAATTTCAGGACACAGAAAAGTTCAAGATAAAAAAAAAAAACAAGTGTGGGTCCCTCGGCTCTGCTGTGTTATCAAACCAGGCAAATGCATATCTGAGTAGAACCAATGCAACTTGTCGCTCCCCTTCTTCGCGGAGGAACGACACTGGACCCTGCACTGTTCTTTCGTCTGCTCAGCTCTTCCCGGGTTGGCTGCCAACCCTTCCACCTCCGTGGAAGGATCCTTCCACCTCCGAGGAAAGGCGGCTCCCCCTGCCACTTTCCCCACTTCCGCAGGGGAACGGCACAGCGCCGGCCGGCTCTCTCGGGGGGCTGCTCAGATGTTATCTGGATGTTCCTGGTGCATGTTGTCTCTCTCCTCCTTTATAGTCCTCTTCCACCGATCCCAACTCTGCTACCCACACGCCGAGTACGCTGCTCTCATCCAATCAGGAGCAGGATCAGCTCCTGCAAGGTATTGGTCGAACTGGAGGCAGCTGTGAAAATTTGTTTACTCCTCTCCAATGCCATAATGTGGGAGAGAGATGCAAGAATACTCTTAAGTCCAGTAACTTAGTCTAGG